GCTTCATAAAGTATACAAATATGAAATTGAATTCGCTGTATCACTAGTAGTAAATTTGTAATTAATCTTATACTGTACTATCGTGATAACTACAATAAATTTCGCTATTTATCGTAATCATTAGAAATCAGTAGCATGATTATAATTGAATGTTATCAAATATCGCTATTAATCGAATCGGATATATAGCGATATTTAGTATTACCGCTAGTAAACGAATTCGCTATATATCGATTACTATCACGATCGTGTATAATCGGCAGGGGTGATTGGTATCGATATATAATTACCCGGCTAGTAATCGATATATATCGGTCTATTTTTTTTGCTGATGTTGGTCAGACCAGTAGATAGCAACATATATACAGAAATGGATATGCCGTTCGAGTACTGGAACAGGTTCCGGTAAAAAGAAATTCTTAAGTGGGGCCAGAGATGTCGATGGCAGACATCTGATATAAGATGTGGCTTAGATTTACAGCCACGGCCAAATGATGGACCAGAGAGAAATTATATGTTAAGGCTTAGTCTTACAATTGAGATATACAAATGTTGTATCTGGTATATAATTTTTATTTTTATCTAACATGGGTTATAATAGTGTGTGTTAGGATTTTTTTTCTTTTTTTAGGATTTTTTTTCTTTTTTGTTGCTTTTTCCATCTCCTTCTCTTTATAATCGAATAACATTTAGAGTTTTCCTTTTTTCCTTTTTTTTGTTTTGTTTTTTCTTCTGTTTTGTTTTCTTTCTCTGAATTTGTTTCATTTTTTTGTAAATATGGTTTTTGGTTTTTTTCTTGTGCAAAAATAAGGGTCAAACTTTTTGCCAGATCTAGGTGGGAAAAGTTTATAAAAGAGGAAAGGATCCTGACATGGTATACAACAACCTGTCTATGATCTTGAAGAGTATCTCATTATACCGAAATTTTGAGAAAGTTCGGAATCCCTAAGTAGACTAATAGTTGTTATAGCAGATCGCATTGGGCAGTTCTTGCTTGATGAGTTTTTATTAGACTAGAGCAAAATGTGTTAAAGAATATATACTTGAGAGTATTAAATTCACATCGTCACTCATAGTAAATAAAAACAGGATTGCTTAAAAAAAATAATAATAATAAAAACTACCCTGTTGTCATCTCACTACAGGTTATTATGATTCTTCAGTAGAAATTTGGCTTTTCTTTTTGTTGAAAAATTTGATCCAATTGATCATTGAAAAGAGTAATGTGAATATTTTATACTATATATTTATTAGTACACCCTCTCAAAACCGATAACCTGCTATAACCAATAAAAAATTGATTCATAATTAAAACCTGATAACCTGCCATTTCTGACAACCGATACCCAAAAGACCAGATATCTATAAAATATCGGTTTTGACAGGTAATATAAATCAATTTGATTGGCTAAGTTCGTGTATTGTGCAACAGATTATATATATAAGAAATATAATCCAGCCAATTAAATTTATTTGTAATCATGTGACAGCAGGCCATAATCAATTTTCAAATTCGATAGCCTCTCAAAAGCTGTATCGGATTTGAGGTGTACTGTATACTAAATAAAACTTTATTTATAAAAAATAATCCACATTATATAAATAATATTTTATACTATATATATATATACTATATAAAACTTTATTTAATAAATTACAAATTTTTATTAGTTAATACATATAAAGTTTTTTTATATTTACTAAACTATATATTATAAATTTGTTTTTAACCAATTTTATTAAAAATATAAACAGTATAAACAATTGCAAAAATGAATTTTTTTTTTTACAAGATTTTTTTTTTTCAAAATTAAAAAAAATCGAAATCATAAGTATTTAAAAATTGTTCATATATTGTGGTGTGTATATGAGAAAATCAAATTTATATTGCATTTGAATTTGCGACAAAATTTTTTAGAAAAAAAAAGATGTGATATGTAGATAACTATATACAAAGAAAAATAAAATTAAACTTATTTGACTTATTAATAAAAATTATTAATAAGTTGATTTTTTCCTCTTAATAGATTTTGGTATTAAAACCAAGTTCATATAATTTTGTATTGCGTACTTTGTTAAAGTTTCGTTGTGTTGTGTTGTATGGAAGAAAACCTCACGAATTGAAGAAAAAAAATAACTACAAAAAAAAAAAGATATATATAACAAATAAAAAAGAAAAAAAAATTCGAGAGGTAAAATAAGTCGAAAATAAAGCGCAAAAAGTGAATGGTAAGAAAAATGTTTGAAATTTTAGGAAGAAAATCGATATCGAGAGAAAATTGACACGAAATGAGGAAAATAGAGAATGAAGCAAACGTCCAACAGTAAAATAAAATTTCATCCTTTTTTTCCCTTTTTTTTTTATTTTTTTATTTTTTTTTTCTCTTTTTTTTCTTTTTTTAATTTTTTTCCAAAGTACCCGCTCGTTATATTTTCATTAAAAGAATAAGTTAAGGCCACACTTTTCCTGTTTTAAACACTACGCCATCGTTACGACTTAACAAGATTGGTCGACCACTCATGTTCATCCTCCCATTGGGAAGCCAATGAAGATGACGGCCTTGAAGACCAGAAATGTCCCGCTTAATATTATTATTATGATGCTCTATTTCATACATCAACTCTTCTGGTAACCAGCATACCAGGCAATCTTTAGACCTAAACTCTGTTCTCGGACTTGGAATATCTCCAAACCATACCATTAAGTCTCGGGTAAAGTTATCACCATATATAGTTATAGTGTTTGGAGCTGCTGAATGCTGGAGCTGTGATGTAGGAATTGAGCAGGGTGATGATGACGTAGTACTAAGTATGTTTGAAATACTTGGTAATGGAGTAACCGGCATAGGTAACGATAATGATGAAAGATGGTGAGATGGACTCATTGATCCGGAAATTAAGTTTTGTGGAGAATAAAACGTATACGATGCACAATCTATTAAATTAAATCCAATAATTTATAAAGGTTATAAAATTAAAATTTCAAAATTAATATAAACATATATGCATACCCGTTCCAACAATCGTCCAGACAGCGGCATCAGTTACATCTTCGGTCCATAAAGCACCAGCGTTATCATGGTGTCGGTGACCAACTGAGTTTCTTACGCTGGCGAATTTCGCAAGATCAACTTCACTTGCTACACCACTTAAACTATTTACCCTCCTTCTGTTTTTTGTCAATGCAGCTTTGGATAATGTGGTAGGCCTAACTACCACCGATGAGGAAACACGTCGCTTACGGATAACTTTTCCACCTTCAGCGGTAACTACAGCAGATTCGGGCAATGTAGTTGAATCCATAGAGAAATCTGTAGTATTGGATGCCCAAGCTGCGGCAACTGCCGATGAAATGTCGGTCGGTGAAGGTATCGAAGAATTAGGTTTCATGTCCAAAAAATTGGTATTAATTGGTACGGTCGAGGGTTGAGTTATGATTTTTCGGCCTTCATTCGCACGTTGCATTCCTACAACATCACCTAGACAAGCAAGATATGTACCGGGTCCTGGCAGATGTTGATTATTTGGAGATTGGAATGTCGGGGAGGTTGAAGGTGAAGACATGCTAGTATCCTTAATTTGAAATGCAACTTTATGAAGTTGCGAAACTGGGTCACCTAAAGCTATTTAAAAGACAATAATATTTTTTAAACAACCACTACATAGTAATGTATAAGAAAGATTCTTATAATTGTAGGTAACAAACCTTCTTCAGCTTCACCATGCCCATTAGAATCAAGAATACCACCTCCGATAACCATACTACCTTTGTCCACTTTACGAATAATCATAGTCGGGCTTGTCATTCCAGTTGTCAAACATTGCAAGACTATAGGTTGGTTGTAATGAATTGGGATGGGGTTCCCATTATTTGATTTAATGGCAGCAGGTGGAGGGCGAGGGAAATTTGCGTTTGTTGGCTGCTGAGGAGGATGATCATCTTTACCCTTAACGTAACGAGGGTCAACTATCCAAATTATGAAAGGATCCCAACTTCCAGTACGGGCAACGAAGCAAGGATGGGGTTGTTCATTTTGGCCTGAATGCATGTGACTATTATTATAATTCCAAGGGCCGAACGTTTGATTGTTACTTTGCATTGAGACTCCAAGATACTTAGTGGATACTGTTTGAGAACGAATACGATTGAAAAGCGAAATTGTAGTTCCATGATGAATGCATACTGTAAAAACAGTAATTATTAATTATTTGTATAAGATGGAACATAAACCCAATATAAATAAAAAATAGACACTTACATTCCATGTTTTTTACACTTTGTCTTTTTTTGCTTGGTTTACTGATAACCTTAATCGGCTTACTCGCGAAAGTCCCAAAATCGTGCCCCATAGGACTTTGAATATTCACCAGAACTTCTACTCTTTTTCGTTTTTCATCAGCATCATTAATATACAAATGCTTAGAAACACATTTTCCGCTGAAAGCCATTTCAGAGCATGCATTAGGATCAAGTGGATTTCCCGATGAACTAATACACTCAAGAATTCCCTGTTGATGTCCTAGTTCACCAGAAATGCCAACAGAGATCTTTGGTGGACTGTATGTCGTTGGTGATTGTGAATGGCCAATATTGTGCGGAGACCACCAGTTTGATCCCAAAATCAATGTTGTAGGTGGAGGACACAGGAATCTTTTTTCTGTGCCGTAAGATTTTTGAGCAACTTTTGAAGTCAAAACCATTACTGTTTTTTCGCCCATCGCAGCTGGATTAGTAGAATTCAGGTATTGTTGAATCACCGGCCTATTACAACATATAACCATACAACAATTGAGAATAATTTAATAACTATTTGCAATTATATTGATAAATGATAATACAAACCTCATAAGATTAACCATAGCGCCCTGAGGAAGTCTTTGGTTAACAGTCGAAGACATATCAGAACCATAATTAGAAACAACAAGTGCAAGATTATTGTTATTAGCAGATGAAGCCATAATATCTTCCTCTTCTTCCATGATAGTAGGAGAAATAGACACTCTACGCATGTAAGTTGGAGTGTGCGGAGGGGACGGTGATGGAGGTGAGGAACTAGCAGATGACATTGAAGTACCGGGGGATTCAAGTGGTGAAAGAGCAGGTGTACGTGGTTCAGCCTTAATGTTCGGTGGATTACTAACTGAACTATTTCTGCGACTTTTAGCAGCAGAACGTTGTTGGCAAAGTGGTTTAACACTGAAATAATCAGGCTCCACATCAAGTGTGCTCGGAGTTTGAGTAAGCATCGGTGTAAAATTTGGTTGAGTAATGGTAATAGCAGCTGGAGTAATTGTTTGTGGATTATCAATTATTTTTTCAGATGTAAAAACGGAACCGTGCTGGGGAGATGACATATTATCGTAACTATGAGATCGAGATATTGTGGTACTTTCAAGCAATTGATCGGTTGGTAACTCAGTATTCAAGTTAAAAGTAAATCCATCAGTAATAGTCGGATTTGTAACGCCGTCAACGCCATCAAGGAAACCGGGTTCAAAGAAAACTGGTGTAGGAGGCATAGTGACTGCAGGAGATGGAGAACTCGCAAGAGAATCAAACCCGAATTCAGTTGGCATGTCGCCAAGGCGATACATATTAGGTGGAGTTGTCGTAATATTCAAGGGCATTAAATGAGGTTTACGATTATTTCTAACATTTGTAGTATTTATTGAATCAACTACTATTGGTGTATATGTCTTGTCATCACGATTGCAAGAAATCATTGCTGCTGCTGCGGCCAATTCATTCAAAGGCTGATGAAGATTTTCATATGGTAAATCATTAACAGAGTTTTTTCTTGGCTCGCTTTCCGTTGAGTTAATGTCATTAACTTGATTACGATGACATAATGATGAATCACCACAAATATCAGGACTAGATATTGGAGAGTTACCAACGGAAGCAGAAGCGATGGACGCGTTTGTGATATCACCGTATTCATAGCTATTTGAAAATCCTGACGCTGCATTAACTGGAATTGAGGTTTCAACGCTGTCATAAGAATTATACAAATTTCCCAACCCAAAAGTGTTGTCAGAAGTTGGCAATGACATATTTCCAGGTAAATTCTCAGTAATAAGATAATCCATATTATAAGCTCCATTTTGAGATCTACTATTAAGTTGTGCATCAGAACGTGAAGGAGAGTTTGTTGGTGTTGAAGGATTTGAACGAACATATTCACTCCAAGCAGCCGAATTCAACATAGCGGGAGAATGATATTGTTGATAAGCTACATTAAGTTGTTGTGATTGTTGTTGGGAATATATTAATTGTGATTTTTGTTGATTAGAGGGTAAATAACATTCTTGTACTGCGGTTATTGGATATTGAAAATCTTGCTTTCTTTTCTTGGAGAAATTGTCGCTACCATTGCACGAAGACTTTGACATATTATCGAGATGATGCACCGAAGAAATAGCGTGTTGAGAATGAGCCACAGGGTAAGAATTATATAATTCTGTAGAGAACGGTGAATGTACCATATCTTATTAAACCAACATCAATGAACACGACAATAAAGGGGAAGAAAAAGAACCAGTAAGAAAACAGTGAATTTAATAATTTAACAATCTCAACCAAAAACAGAATACAAAGAATCCAAAAATACATTGCGTCATTTTATCTATTAACCATCGATAAATAAATCAATCTTTCATACTCAACAAATTTTTGGAAATGAAACTAAACTGTATGTGAATTACTTACTTTTTAAAGAAGAAGGATTTAGAACTTTCTTGTAAAGCTTTCGGTTCCGTATAGGTACGCGTAATGGAGTGTCTTTAGAGCGTCAAAAACGAGTCGAGAAGTTTGAAAATGAAGGATAAAGTTTTTTGGGCCGTTAAAAAGGTACTTTTTACCTACAAAGTAAACGATTACGAACTTTGAAGGAAAATGTGAAATGATATATACAAAAATAAAGGTTCCTCGGTAAATATATAAGCGATATATATTTTTACCAGAAACTCGTGTGTTAGATAATTTTTACAAGAACTTTTTGTTGGTAGGCCTTTAACCCGAGAAAGAGGTGTATATATATACATATATACCAATATAAAGAAATTTTATATTTTATATAAAGCTATTGTAAACAAATAAAAAAAAATTATTTTAGGGTGTATAAAATCAGTCAATCAAAATTAGGGTAAAGGATCCAAAAAGTCACTACAATAATACAGTAATAATAATTTATATTCGGAGTTTTTTATTGTACGTATAAAAAATAGTGATAAAGTTAATTCTACGTAAAAATTATATCATTCAAAAAAAAATTATGCTACGTAGCGTTAGAAGTTGGTCCAAGTGATTCAATTCGTTACACGAATAATTTATACGGATAACTATAATTTAAAAAAATAGATTTTGAGCCGTTGTAAGTCAGAAAAGCCATCGAAGATATGCAAGATGTAAAAATATTCCGCTTTATGATGTCTTCAACCATTAATGTTTGACAAACAAGCAGAGCTTGTTCAAATATTTTTGGCTTGGGTATCGATACTAGATACAGTAAGTACGTAATTAAAACTTTATATTAGTAATTAGAGATAAAATTATTAATCACGTGTAATTTTACTGTATATATATAAACAATTGTGGGTATGGCTTGATAGTTTTTGTTTATATATTAATGGATTGGATTTACCAATTTGTACTAAATCTAGTACAGTTAAAAAATATATACCCAAAAAATTTTTATATACAAAAATCTGATAAATATTCAAGATTTGTTTAATGTTGTTTTTTTTTATATTAATTAATAATTAATAATAAAATTATCAATATAAAAATTTTTTTGTATTAGGTATTTTTTGTAACTTTTGATATACAAAATAGTACACCTTTTAGATCTAATTATAATTATAAACTAAAAGTTTAATTATATAAAACAATTTGGTGATTCTATTATTAATTATTTATTATATTATAAAAATTAATACTTTTATTATGTGTTTTTTAAAAATTATTGCTTTACTATATATACAAGTTTAGCTACAATTTTATTGATTAAATTTTTTTAAATTTTAATTAAATTTAAAATAAATTAGGATTTAAAAATTTTTTTATTATTAAATTAATTTATCTCAAATTATATTTTAAATTTTAAAAAAAATCATTTATATATTAATATAAACTTTATATAGTACTTATCTCTAAAAATTTTAAATTTAAATAACTTTTTATATATTAATATTATTAATTAAAATTTAAAAAAATTGTATAATTTAAATTAGTAAACTAATTTTTACAACTTTTTTTAATAGGTATTTATAGGCCAAACATACTAAATTTAGTATATACAAAAAAATTATTTTGAGCTAATTATTTAATTAATTTTATTCAAATTTTGTCAAAATATAGTTAAATATTAAAATAATATTTATACAAAATTTTATTAATATTTACTAATAAAAATTTTATACATATTAGCTTTAAATAGTTTGTATTTTATTAAAATTTTTCTATATTTAGTTTAATATAATACTAAAAAAATTATTATATTATACAAAAATTTATAATAAATTTATAAAAATACAACTATTTTAAATTGTTTTAGATCTATATTTGATTTTAAAATAATTATTTTTTTAAATAATAAAATTTTAAAATAAATTAAATAAATTTATTTTATAGTAATACAAGTCTTTTTTTTTTTTTTTATAAATTCGGCAGTCTTGCTTTCAATTTATTAGGCTTTGTAATAATTATCTAAACTATTAAAATTTTCTAAGAAGTTATTCTCCCCAGTACCTAAATTACAAATGAAGACTCACCCGGTTGCTCATTGAGTACCTATATGTGACCTGCTATAGTAAGAATTGCCTCTATATTACCTTATCCTGCAATTGGCTTCGATAATACGTCAACAGCTAGTTCTTACCGCCTGTCAAGACTATATATTAGTTTTCCACCAATCTAAACGTTGTTCTTCTACAATCTACCTCGTCACTTCTTTTTTAGTTATTTCTAGAACTGACAACCACCTTTTACTCTTGTTTTCATCTTTCTTTCTTTTAATAATATGCCTGTCTGGTGGTTCCTTCTTTTTCTTTTTCTTCTTTCTTGTTTTTTTATGGAATCTTCTTTTATCCTTTGGTGCAATTTCATTTTTCTTCTCCCATTCCTGTACTAATTTGCATTTTGGAACCCAAATTCTCTTATATATTTCTTTTATCCAATTCTTCCAAAATCTTTTTAAAAATCGCTTTGTTTGGTTGTTCAAGTCAAAATGAGATCTCAACTCTTCGAAGTTTTCTTTTGTAATTAAGCCTCTAATCCATCTTTCTCTTCTGCATATTTCATCAACTTGGGATCCTTTTCCTAGCATTATTAGAACTTCTTCTTTAATTTTCTTCAAGCTCTCTACATTTTTTAATTCATGCAGGATTGCTTCTACTACTTGCTTATCTAAAGTGCAGAGTAAGTTTAAAGATCGTTTACAGCTTACCAAGTGTTCTACATTTTCTTTCTTTTTTTTACATATGACACATTTGTCTGTTTTGTAAGCTTCGAGTCTTCTTTGATTAAGTTTCTTGAGCACTGGGAGTATATTGTTTATACACTTTATTTCAAAGAGCTGCAGTGTATTTGGCTTGAAGGTGTGATTTCATTGCTTGGTTCTGCTTCTCATTATATTGCGCAGGATAGTCTATGATTGAGTATATTTCCTTTCTTGATGTGTTTCATTATGCATACTGTGTAAGAAAGTCTACTTTGCTTTAATTAATACTCTCTCTATCATTTTGATGAAAGAACAGATTGGCTTTTCAACTAATTCACCTTTCTACGTATATCTTAACTTTTGATCTTTTGTATATAGTGGTTCTGGAGTTAAGTACTCTGTTGACTTAGCACCTTCTTTCACTTTCAAGTCTGCTAGCTCATTAAAAATATCATCTAAGTGATTCTTGATTTTAATAAAGCGTATATTTAACTCCTTTGTCTTAATTAGCTCTACAATTGATATTAACAAACCACTATTCTTAGTCTTTAGCCAGAGTCTTATCTTGTTCATTTTTAGACCTTTTTTAATTGCTAAGATTGCTGCTATACTATCTGTTCTAATCTCCACTCTTCTTCTACAAGGTATGGTTAGTAAAGCGAGAAGAATTGCCACTATTTCTGCTTTTGTAGATGAGAACTATTTTCTTGTTGCACATAAAATTTGGCGCAATATGTGTCCCGTTTCTGTAATTTGGATTGCCCCACAACTTATTACCAATTTTTCTTCATTCTCTGCAGGTCCGAGTGAGCTATCAGTATAAAAAAATAAACTATCTAATTCTCTATTTTGCTCTAAGCTCTCTATTATTCTACTCCTAATTAAGGCACTTTTAACTATTCTATTAATTAAAACTACTTTCTAACATTTACACTCTATCTCCATATTAACCTTCTCTTTTATTTTTTTTAAATCTTTTGCCTTAATCAAATATTTTTCCTCCTTTTTTCCAAATGTTTTTTCTATATATTGTTTTTCAAAGATTAACCTTGCACCTTTTTCTGTTCTCCTAACTATGTTTGAGATATCTCCAAGTTTTCTATGTTTAACCATGTATGTTTCACTTGTTTTATCAATTTCTAGGAAATGCTGAACTTCATTTTCCTGACCCTCTATTGTTTCTCTATATTTTTTGACTTCTATATATGTGTTTTCTTTTTCTTTAATTTTCCCTGTATAAATAGATTCATTTGTATCCTCTCTCCAACAAACCTATTCTCTTACTCTTTTGTTATTGCTTACTTCTTTTATCTCAAAATTAGGAACATTACTATTGTTTGTTTCATATTTGTATCTGTTTTTGACATTTCTTGACCTGGGGTCTTCTAAAATCTTTTTTTTTAATTTAGCAAACCAGCCTGGTTTTTTCTCTTTTAAACTCACACCATATACTAGTCTAAATTGATTCCATGTATGTATTGTTTTACCATCTTTTGCAATAAGTTGTGATACTACAAATAAGTCCAGACCACTTGCTTTTGTCTCCAAATAAGCCATATTTAAGCGTTCGAAAACACATGCAATCTCTTCATCATTTGTTGTTTGTATGAGATCTAAATTCCAGCTTCCTGTAACCTCATTCTCTTCTATAATGAAGCCCAAAGTATGTGCTTGATGCAGAATATTTATCCCCAGATTATAACCTTTCATTTCTCTATTTTTTAGTATAGTTTGATTTGTTAGAATGCACTTCATTAAATTTGCTCTTAGCTGACCCTGCTTGAGCCTTCTTGTTATCAATTCTTCTAAAAGACCTGGTGTGTTTAGTTTGATTAGCAACTCTGATATATGATACTCCATATGTCTATTCCAAAGACTTTTGAGTGCTGTTGTCTCTGGATGTTTTGTTATTATATTGGCTGTTGTGGAAGGCATCAACATTTTCCATTTGATCAAATGAACCATTGGCTGATGTATTCTCTCACACTGTATCTTGGTCAAGCATGAAACCATTAGTTTGTATTCCAAGATGAGTATTAGAATTGT